ATATATATATATATATATATATGGGGTTTGCTGACGCAATGTGTACAACATTTTAGTAGATAAAAATATCCTCTAAGTTTTAAGGTTAAGGGTATTTTAATAATTTTCATTCTCAAAACTAAAAAAAAAAACCAAACCCTTAGTCACCTCTCTCATTCCTCTCAACCCTTTCTCTTTCATCTCTCTCCTTCCAACACTCGCTATTAAACAATTTCTTAGAAAAAATGATTTTATAATGAGTTTTTATTTTATAATTTTTATCTTATCTAATTTTATCTAATTTTCACAGACATAAATGACATATGAAGGAATTGGTAATTGGCTTGGAAAAAAATCAGAAACACTCGCTCTTAAACAATTTTTTACAAAAAATGATTTTTATAATGAGTTTTCATTTTATAATTTCTGTCTTATCTAATTTTCACAAGCATAATGACATCCAAAGAAATTGGTAATTGGCTTGCAAAAAATCAGAAATACTCGCAGTTAAACAATTTCTTAAATAAATGATTTTATAATGAGTTTTCATTTTATAATTTTTTTCTTATCTAATTTTCACAAGCATAATGACATATGAAAGAATTGGTAATTGGGGTTTTTTTTAGAAATGATGATTCCAGATGATGAAATTAGAGAGGTTAGTGAAGATGATGAAATTGAAGACATCTTGAATTAACATTTGCCTACAGGCGAATATGCCAATGACTCAACTCTTTACAAAGGAAAATTGTTTAAGATGTTTCTGATTTTTTCACTTGGGACTAAGAAAATGTTAGAGTGAGAGAGATGAAAGAGAAAGGGTTGAAAAGAACGAGGGAGGTGAATAAGGATTCAGATGTTTCTTGTTTTTTTTTAGTTTTGAGAATGAAATTATTAAAATACCCTTAACCTTAAAACTTAGAATCCATGATATATAAGAGTATTTTTATCTACTAAAACTTGATACAGATTACTAAAATATACTACTGAAAAACAGGCGTACGCACGTTAACAAACTCCTATATATATTATCCACTCAATTAATAGGATTATCTCTGGACAAAAATACGTGTAATCGCTATTTAAAATGTAATATAGTTTGCCACACTGAGTTGATGAAGTTGCACATATCTAATTATAGAAAATTAATGTGCTGGAAGTTGTCTGGTATTTCTCCATAGACAAGATGAAGCTTCTCATTCAATCATATGTCTAAACGTTTGAAGGATGCATTTATGATGCTGCACACAATTTAGTAACAACTTCTTTCAAGATGGGAGATACTTCAACTGATCATATCTGAATGCCATAAATTCAATATCCTTTACATTTATGCTAATTACTGCAAACAGCTCATTCAACCCAAAAAAGGTGGTAGTTCCCAAAATCACAAATGCATGGATATTATCATTAATTTCTTAATAAAAAAAATATATTTACATAAACATATCCAACAAGGTCAGTTTTAGAAAGTATATGACATCAAATTTAGAATCAACGTTGTATAAGACAATTAAAAAGTATACAATTTGTTTGTTGATTATAAACCGACATAAAAGGTCAACGAGGTACAAGAAATTTTCAAATCAGTTTGGATTATTCTTTCACATATTCTTTATACATTCTTCACAAATAAAAATATATAGAGAATAAAAATATATAGATAGAGTGGGGGATTGATTAAAAATTTGTGAGAAAATAAATCCTAATTAAATACAAATTTCTTTTGGATAAATATTTCATGCTAATTTATTAACTTTTTTATGGGAAGTGTTGAGTTAGATAGAAATAATATATAGGCTTAATTGTTTAATTGGTCCCTACATTTAAAGAGTTTTTTCAGTTTAGTACCCGCTTTTAAAAATGTCTCTATTGCGTCCTATACCAATCAAGTCCCTTATATTAAATTGACATAAACGGAGTTAACTCCGTTGTGACGTGGCTATAAAATCCCGTTTTTTTTTTCTTTCTCCTATGCTCTTCCTGTAACGACCAATTTCTTCTCTCTCTTTTATCAATGTCTCGTTTTAAGGGTTTTAAATTTACCAATCTCTGCACACCGAACTCTCTATTGAGCATTAGTGAGCTGAACATGCGAATTCTCTTATTGCTGCCTCAGTTTCAGAATTTCCACCTTCAAAATGTTCTGGTCCTTCTTTAGTTTCTCCACTCCAGCCTCCACGCCTGGCTTCATCATATTGAAAGCTCCTTGATGCAGTCTGTTATACTTACCCCTCCTTCTTATGTTCTTTAGCAAATGCCTCTTCCCTCCTTACAAACTTCCAATGGTCTAAATCAACCATCTTGAAGCTTGTATCCGTTACACCATAAATCCTCGTTTACATCACAATAATGATATTATATATAAACATAGATGAATCCAATTACTTCACACAGAACCTATATATGCAATCAGACTAAAGCTAAACTATTATTAAATGTGGAAGAAATTTATCAACATGGTTATAGTAAAATTATGAAATCATAATTTATTAATCAAATATTCAATTTATACAAATTACAAATCTTTCGTTCCATAGATTAATTAGGAAGAATAAGTGGTGTCAGTTGATATAAATCAAAGGTTATTTTATAGATTTGAATATTTGATCCTAATTCATAACATTATTAAAAAAGAAGAAGTGATGTATCATAGTGTGAGCAGTAGTTTTGAGAAAGAAGAGGCCAGAGAGGTACAATAGAAGGGTAAGGTGAGAGAAAATTAAGGAGACACAGAAGAAAAGGTGAGAATGCAGAAAAATTGACATAGGTGTTGAGTTGGCGAACGAAGCTGGAGAAATTGTTGTGCTTGAAGTATTTGGGAAGAAGGATTTTGGAGAATTTATGGGAGCCCCATTTACAATAGCAGAGAAAAAGCATCTTCCAATCCAAACCCTGAAATGGACGACAGAGACAAATCCGAAAAGAGAAGTAGAGATCGTCACTACGAACGCCATCGTGACTCCGATGACCACCACCCTCGCGACTCTGATGACCACCGCCATCATCGATCAGACAAGCATCACAAGCGTGACCCTAAATCCAGGGATAGAGATAAGGATAGGGCTTATGAAAGAGAAGGAAGCAAGGACAAAGATAGGGATAGGAATAGTGTTCAAGAAAGAGAGAGTAGGTCGAAGGTGAAACGTGATGAGGAGAGGGAAGATTTGGTGGAGCTGGGACACTCCTCGCAATCTCACAAGCGCAAAGAAAGGGAGCTAAGCAAGGAGAGGAACTTCGAGGATAAGAAATTAGGGTTACCATCGAGAGGAGGGAACAAAGGAAATTTGGGGATAAAGTAAAGAATGAAGAACAAGAAGAGAAAGTAAACGGTGATGATAAAATCGGGAGCAGAGGCCAATGTCAAGGAGGAAGTTAAAAATGGATCCCATGTCATGTCAAGCTGATCGTTGCAGGAAGAAGAGCAGACGAGAGAGAAAAAAAAATCAGATTTCATAGCCACATCACCACGGAGTTAACTCCGTTTATGCCAATTTAACAGAAGGAATTCGATTGGTGCAAATTATACAACATGAGGATGTATTAAGGCATTTTTAAAAGTGGATATTAAACTGAGAAAACTCTGCTTCCACTTGCAAAAAGGACTTTTCACCTGACAACTTTTCTGATACAGAGCTTCTACCTCGATTATCTGACCAACCGAGGCAGTAGAGGAGGTGAGAGAGGATGAATCTGATATTAGCTTTTCACCTCCACAACTCCCTCGACCCAACCACCTCCCTCCTCTCCGACTCACTCTCATCAACCATTGCCAATCCCTCGTCCCTCCTCCACTCCTCCTCCATCGGCCCCCTCCTTTTCTTCACTGTCGCCTCTGTTTTTTCCTACATCTCTTCCACGCGCCCCTCCTACTCCCTTCCCAACCCCAACGCTGCCGCCACCACCATCAACAACAACCCCAACACCACCAGGCGACACCCAATGGTGCTCCCTCTACGGCCTCTTCTACCTCGTCTTCATAATCGTCGTCGACAAGCTCAATCCCCATATTGCCCTCTCCAATCTCTCCCTACCCTCCGACTGCGCCGCTGCCATGGTTCTCTCCCACCTCGCCCACGAACTCTCTGCCAAAACCCTTGCCGCCTGCTACTCCCTCGATCCTTACCTCGTCTCCAAAATCACCAACATGGTCACCCCCTCCTCGCTACCAAGCTCTACCCCGAGTTCATCAAAATACCCGTTGGCCGCTGCCACCTCCTCGAGACCACCCAGGCCTTCGAGGAACTCAGATCCCTTCCCAACATGTGCGGCGCCATCGACACCCACCTCCGCTCCACCCCTAACAACAACCTTAACGTCAACCCCTACCGCTGCCGCTACGGCTACCCTCTCTATTCCTCCAAGTCGTCTCCGATCACAAGAAGATCTTCTGGGACGTCTGCATCAAGGCCCCCAGCGGCACCGATGACGCCACCCACTTATGCGACAGCCTCCTCTACCGCCCTCTGTTGCCCTTTCTCCCCACCCTGTTCTCCCCAGTGGGATGGGCACCCCCGCGCAGAACCTGTTCGATGGAATGCTCATGAAGGGAAGGAGTGTATGGGGCGGTGTTTGACTTTGCCAATCCATTGAGAGGTTCAATCCTGCTGAGGTTTCAAGTCGGCATTAATTGGATTACACCAAACATCCCTATCCCTTCTAATTGGAAGCCTGGAGCTACTTATGACACCAAACTAAAAAGGTACTTTGATTCTGTGTTACATAAGCCTTTGCAGTTTACAATCCTAACAAAGTTAGTGTTGTTAAGGCTGGTGTAGTTGTTGTACTGGTATAATTGCTGATGGATGACAAGGCTGGCATAACAGTGGATGCATTGGTGCTCTGAGGGATTGGAAGAGATAAGAAATAGTAGAGCATTGGTGCCACTTCTTATTGATCTTCTGAGATTTGGTTCAGTGAAAGGGAAGGAAAATTCAATAACCTTTTTACTTGGATTTTGCAAAGAAGAGGGAGAAGTGGTAGCAAGAAGACTCTTGGCAAATCCAAGAAGTATTCCTTCTCTTGAAAGCTTGGCTTCTGATGGATCTTTGAGAGCTAGAAGAAAAGCAGATGCACTGCTCAGACTCCTCAATAGGTGATGCTCTCAGCTTATCATTCTGTTTGGTGATGATATTCACATCACTTCACACTTGTATATTTTGTGAATGAAATTGGTATACTTCAAAAGTAGCTCATCATCTCTTGTTTACAATTTTTGGTTTGGAGCTTTGCCCAAATGTCTGTTGATTGAGGAAAAAAAACTTAAACCCCCTCTATTGCAGCCTCTGTTGTAGAAAGGTTAAGGAAAAAAAAAAATAAACCTTTATACTACGTCGGTTCAACTACAAATCGAGGCATAAGACCCCTCTACTACCTGAGTTGTATTTCAATCGAGGCAAAAACATACACCTTTTTTACTCGGTTCAGAACCGAGGCAAAAAGGGGTAAACTTTTTACCTCGCCAGTATATACCTCGGTTGCGGAACCACTGCTATGGGCGAAAATAACCGCTGTCGTTTCCCTTGACTGCACTAGTGTAATCACTATATGATGGATTCTAAACTTTTTATTTGACTTTTCTTATACTTTTATATTAGATTGTTGAGATTTAGGTTAAATTCTTGCTTTGGAGAGTGCAAATGTACTTAAGGTTAAATGACATGGGAGAGTTATCTATGTATTATACAAATTTTCACATAATATTGTTCTCTAGTTGTCATTCAATAACGATCATTATTTTTCTAAAGTTTTGGAATTTCCATGTTATATTTTTGTGTTGATGGTTTTCATCTTATTTTTCTATTGGTATATATGTAGAGTGATTCTCAAGGTAAAGACATTGATGTTCTTGATGATTTGTTTTTTTCTTATAAGAGTGGTATAAAGCTTATGATTTGGTAGGATGTTCTTAGTATGCTTTGTGGTTGCAGTTTGGTATGATCTTCCAAATAAAAAAAGATGAATTCCTTATTGTTAAAGAATCATTATTGGTCGTTGAAGTTGCAATGTTATATGCAAGAGTTGACATGGAAAAATTTGATGGAAGGATCTATGTCGACACTATGTTGGCACAATGAATCCGTAGTAGGGTTTGTAAAGGTTCAACAAGGTGGAAGGATGGTGAAGCATGTTCGATCTGCAGAGAAAGTTTTAGTTGGTGCTCCTGTTGCTTGATGAGTGATGTGTGATACAGATCTGATATATGAGTTGTGATTTGCTACAAGTGTGTGAAGGAGGTTCTCTATAATTTTGAGATCTGCTTCGATGTTTGTATGGTATAGCTAGTGCATCTAGGCTTGCATGGTGTGCGATTTAGGTTTCCGTTGCAATCATCATGTTTTAATGTTTTCTGGTGAATGCATGAAGGTTCAATGTTGGTTGTGTAATGAAGATGTTGCTAGTTGTGAGTATTGGATTTGTTGGAGTAAGAAGTGATATGACCTTATCCATGAAAGATTGTGATTATTTATGAATTTGGATTGCTTCTATAAAATAGATAAAATAAATCAAAGTGTTAAAATAAAATGGCTTAGTTTTCAACACCAAGAGGGGGGAGGGGGGTGAATTGGTGAAACACAAAAACAATGTTTTCTTTAAATCTTTTTCGCAAAGTAGATGCCTTTAAAAGCTTTCTTGAAACGCAAGGAAAAGGACTTTGTAGTGCAGCGGAATATAATTGAATGCGTGAAAAATAAAGTCGACTAAATGTAACAGAGTAGGGATACAAAGATCAAACGCTGAGTTTCTATACTGGTTCGGCCAAGCCTACATCCAGTGTCCTTTTACCACAGGAAGCAAATGCACTATAATGATCAAGGTTTTTACAACAAGGCTTTTATAGAGACCTCTACGTCAAAAATATAAAACACCTCTCTAACCCTCTAAATCAAAATATAGGCATACAACAAAAAGACCAGCAGCAAGAATCCCCTATTCTGTTGTCTACACCCTTTGAGAAACCCCTCCAAGTCAAGAACGCCGCACACTCTTCTTCCTGTAATCACAATAGGGAAATAACCCAATCTTTAGTAGATTATCAACTCTGATCTTTCAGTAGACACCACTCTGTGCAGATTTGATCAGTTCTTTCAAAGCACAACAATCTTGCTCTTCAAGAAATCACAAGAGATGATCACCACATTCTTCTTCTTTTGATTCTTGGAGCTTTTCCATGTTCTATAAGATAACACTAATCTGTAATGAATATGAAAATTTTAGAATTCACACCCGTTCTTACAAAATTGAATTTCGCGTCTATTTATAGTTTTTCACAATTCTGACGCTCTCAAGTCGACTTAGCTACTAATGAAATCGAATACAACACTTCAGTCAAAGCAGTTACCAACAATCAATGCAGTTAATTGAATGTACAATTAATGCAGTCAAATCACAATAAATGCTTGGCCAACATATTTAAAAATATAGCCATTGTAACATTTAATTAAAGCATTAACAGAATTTCAAAACTGTAACAAACTTAGTCGAATGCAGGTTGCATGTAATCGACTATACAACATAGTTAAAAAAAGTTTTGAAAAACATTCTCTTCAAAAATTCTTACAGCACACTTTGAAAAATTTTGTGCAAAGCCACGAGTTTTAATCGACTTACTTCATTATGAAGTCGACTCAAAACTACTGTTTTGCCACATATTATAAGTTCAACAAAAGTGCTTGTGGTTTTCCTTTTCTAAAACATATGTCGTGCATTCACATATAAGATCTCACATATAACATAGTGAATTACAAAGATCAACACAACACAAACATGTTCTCATATATTCATAATCATGAAACTAATGAACATGTAACACATAAACACATGTGTTATTAATTATGTGTTGTCATCATAAAAAGCCATAAACTCTGAGATTGTAGGTTCAGCTAAACCAGTGCTCCCCTTATCAACAATCTCAACACAAAGAATACCAAAGAGTTATATAAGAAGAATCCAAAATAAGATAGAGATGAATGACGCCATAATCTAGCAGATTGATAAGTCAAGGAAGATTCATCACAAAGAAGTCAATCTTTAATAAGAACCAATGTTTTATAACAAGAATCAAGAGAATTCTCTCTTAAATGAAAACTAATTTCGTATAATGACCAACCAAAGTGTTTAAAAATCTGTCTTTGAGAAAAGTATAAATAAACTAAAACAACCTAAGAGCTCTAAAGAAAATCCCAAATACATCGGGCTATAAAATAACTTCAAATTCAAAAATAGAAAAAGAGATTTGAACTCATCACCCAATGAGTGGAGCTCGCCCAACAACTCGTCACACAACGAGTTAACTCGCTCAACGATAGTTGCAAAATGTGATAACTCATAATGAAACATTTTCC